TCTCCTAAAATTTTAAGAAAAAGAAGTAAAAGAAAGTTAGTAAAGCAGTATATATCTCTTTCCTTGATGGTTCTAGATAACTTGTTGTATATGTGTTGAAAGTGCTTGATAGCTGGGTTTAAAGGATATGTTATTTTTCCTTGTATGTTTGAACTGGTTCACTTTTTTCAAGAAAATTATCAAAAAAGGAAATTTTTGAAAAAAATGAGGATTAGTGGAAAGAGTTTTTATAAGTAAGCTAGTATTTAAAAGTCATAATATGTATATATATATATATTTTGTGAGTACTTATAACTAATAATGAGTCCTTAAAGTATTTAACATATAAAATTTTGCAGATTACTTATGTCCCTTTTTGAGAAACAAAATCTATAACTCTTTATTTTAATAGGAATAAAAGTCAGAAAATATTATAAATCAATAATTTAGATAATAAAGAATAATTATAGATAGTTTTTTTATACAATAGTTATTATTTTAAAAATTTTAATGTTTTTTAGTAAGAAACATTTAACTTTTATCAATGCTTCCTCCTTTAGGAACCTATCTTTATTTATAATATAATTGGATTATATTATAGTTTATTAATCAATTGAAAATATAAATATATTTTCATTCAAACAGTATAATATATATTACAGCTAAACATTATTTTAAATCTAATTAACTTATTATAGGCAATAATAGTTTTTAAGTTTGACTTGGAAACAATATTTTGCTCTATAATGGATTTTGGGTAAAGATCTTTTTAATCCATCATTTCATTGTTGACAGGTTGTTATTATCAAATGCTTTATCAAACTATTATATTAAAAAGAATGATATTTTTTAAGTTTATTTTTAATTAAATATGAGTTTAATTAAAAAAAGAATATAATAAATAAAGAGAAAAAAAAAGAATTATTAAAATTAATTTTTAAATTATATTAAGAAAAATATTAAAATTTTATTAACAAAAGTTTTTTATAAATATCTTTTTTGTGTATAATCAAAAAATTGAAAAAACAATTTATTTTCTTATTTTATTTTATAAGAATTGATAAATAATTTCTGTTTTTTCAAAGTTATATTATTACATTATTTAATTAAATAATAATTTACTTAAAAATAAATAATAATAATAATATAAATTAAAAATTTAAACCAATTAATTTAAAATATTTTTTATTATAGATTTTTATATTTAAATGCAAAATAAAAAAATTTCAAATGTATGATCAAAAAAAGTAATTTAAAATAGTTTAAAATAAAAATATACATTTGATAATATAATACATTTGATAATAATGAATTTTATTAAAACAAAAAAAAATTTTTTTTTATTTAAAATTGATAGTATATAATTAGAAATACAATATTTAGAAACATAAATAAATAAATTAATAATAATGAAAGATAAGTTAATTTAACTAAAATATTATTTTTCAAATCGTGTTATTTTAATCAAGAATTAAAAACGATTGGATAATTTAAATCAATTGAACAATAAAACAAAATAATTCGATATATCAATAATAACGTAAATTAATGATTTAAAAAATAAATTTTTATCGATTGTATACTTTAATAAATTAAAAATCAAATTTATCGATTGTATACTCTATTTTCATGAAATTAAAATATGCCTTATTGTTTGACCATTAATAGCAACCTGTCATTTTTTTAAAGGATCGAATAGGAGAAGGTAATTGAGCTTAGTAATTGAACTTTCAAACACAATCACATTCTAAGTTAAAATTAATTGTATATATTAATAATCTATGGAGAAAGAGGAATGTATACTGTATAAAAAGAAAACATATGATAAATTCATTGTTGAAAAAAAAAAAAAAAAATTTTTTTTTATTTTGAAATCAAAGTCCCTCAGAAAATATAGACGATTATCGGAGTTGTCAATCTACTTACAAGTAAAGTAAACCGTAACTCATAATTCAATTTATAATATGTTCTTGGATTTTTAAGTATGCACCTCTCCAAACATCGTATATGATTACTTGAATAGATTTTGTACAAGTTTAAAAATATAATGGCAATGGAAAATCGCTGGGAATCTTTCTTGGCTTACCGTGGTCCTGCCTTTCAAGGAAGGTGATTCATTGTTGCAGTCTCTTTGAAATGATTTTTTAAATAGAAAAAAGTGTCGTGCATGTTTTTAATCCGACAAAAATTTGCTATTCTCGACTTCCTTTAGCGTCCCGATTCGTTAGAAAATCGTCCGTGTAACAATCAGAAGCCGATCGGCAAAATATTTTTTTTCGCCTTGGAGCTCTTTTAATTAATTAAACAAGCCTAGGCTTGTACACAGCAAAATCCGCGCTAACGTTTTATGCCCGATTTTGTATTAAGCGTTCGCTCGAGCTCCATGCGTGTTTCGCAACGTTCGGAAATAATTTCACTAATAAAAGGGTTCAACAATATGCAACACACTTGACATAGAGTGCGCATCTCAGGAGGTCCGCATGTCTGGCAGAATATTGCCCCGAAGTTCGGACGAAAACATTCATGCAGAAAAAAGTTGTGACACTGTAATAATCTAAGGTCGCACAAATATTTGTCGTAAGCCACTCGTAAATGTGCGTGCGTACAACACGGCCATCTCTGGCTCGCCCATCAATTATACTAACATGGCCAAGACACACTTAAAAATAGAAAAATGCGTTCAATCCACTTTTGAAAACACAATCGGAATCAAAAGGCGTAAAATTCTGTGGTCTCTAGGATTTTTCCCTCCGACATCTCTTCTTTCTTGTCACACGCCATTTCTTTAATGGGCGAGTTACGTAACAGGATGGTTACCTGGATCTCAAATTTTTCAATTTTCTGATTTCTACGCATAATATTATGATAATCCTATTATTAAATATTTATACATCTGTTACAATCCTCTTATCGCCTATATAGGATCTCTAATGATTAAATGCATATATAGGTAACTTAAAACGGATGTCTAACGGACATTCATAGTAAATTACAATAGCCAGAAAACTACCTCCAAAAATGTAATGGTAAAGGGACGGTATGGTTGACCCGTCAGGTTCAACTAACATCGTGTATCGTGTATTTACAAATTCAACCGTGAGGTGGCTAAATTTAGTGGCAGTTTTTGTCACAATGTCCAACCATGCCCAACTGTCAATCCTGAACACTTCATACAACACGCCCAAGCATGGATGTTTCATTGGATGATGACATATTACATGGTGCGACAAACCCGCTTCATTTGGAATTGATGCGATCAGAGCTTTTCAATATCAGTTCATCAAATATCATTTTTTTTTTTTTTTTTTTTTTTTTTTTTTATTATTTATATTTATATTTTATTTTATTTAGTAATAATAAATAATAATAATAATATTCTTTTTTATGAAGGTTTTTTTTTTCCTTCGACTGTTGTGTTCACCACCTTTTATTATTACTCGTGCTCGCAGTTTACGTAACCATCCCAATTATCACCGCTTGTGTCATTACATTAATACGATTATACGATTCTTTTATCTTCTGATAATTTGGTCTTGCGACGTCCATAACCAATTTATCTGTGTCCACAAGACCATCATTAACCCGCTCCTGGTTCATTTTGGTTTGAGTGCCTTGACGACGCTTATTTATGCCTTTGCCTTTGTCCAATTTTTCATAATAACGAACATTAAATAATAGGAAGAGTTGATATTAAAAAAAGGTAAAGGCTTCTTATGGCACCTGAATAACTAAAATCAGTCAGTCCAAAAGTCGCCTTCGTTTCCTGGCTAACCGTAGTCATGTTTTTCGAACGTTTGGCTTCTTTGGAAAACTGATTGTGAAACTATAACCTCTCTTATCGTTACCATTAGCTTGGGTCGACCTTACATGAATCTTTTCCCGTGTGGAGTGCCTTTTATCTTATAAAGCGGCCTTGCTATCGGGTCATATGTTGAAGGGATTTTAGCTTGAATAACACGATACGGCACTGCAGCCTTCATGTCTCTATGTTAATTGGCGTCCGATAGTTTACAGTCTTATCTTTTCTGCTGAATTACCTTCTGATATCGCCCGCCATTTTCCACACGGACGAACAATAATTGACACTTAAATATAGCTAACTGTGATGGAAATACATCATCACATCTTCGAGTTGGTCGCTCCGGCCACCGCCCTCGGGGCCATTTTTGTTCTCCTCTTTGGACCGATATTCTTTCCGCGTGCTTACATTTGGTTCCTGTTGACCTACTTCACGACATTTCTATATATTTCCATAAACCATTTTCTCAAATTTTGCATAACCGTCAGAAATATAAAGAGGAACATTCGGGATTGGAATGCGAGGCGAGAACATCAGTCAACATCCCGGGATTACACCACGAAAGAGGTTGTGAAAAGCTCGGCGACCAACAACGGAAGGACAACACCGACAAGAAATGGTTATACGTCGGTGTCCATGACCGATCAATTCGATAATGACAATAGAATTAATGAGATGGAGAGTGCACTGAAACTTTATGACGACGGGCATTACATTCACGCTTTTGTCATACCAAATTACGAGGAACCAGAGCCATTACTAAGGGACACCATAAAAAGATTGGCTCAGCATAGGTAGGAGAAATTTAACAAAAGGATTTTTTTTTTTTTGACTCGGTCTTCGCGATAACACATGGTTAATTAATTAAAAACCCTTGATTATAAAGGAACGCCACCACAACCTATGTCATTGTACTGGCGATGGAAGAATCCGAGGTTGATCACGCCACAAAGGCTGCAAGTCTCAAGAGGAATTTTGATGGCTCCTTCCTTGACTTCATAATCACGGTTCACCCCAAGGATGTTCCGGGTGAAAGTCGGGGAAAAGGCAGCAATGTCGCTTACGCAGCTCGGGAGGCATGCGATTACCTGGTGCGAAAAATTGACAGGCGACGTGTAGTGTTTACGATAACGGATTCTGATTCAGCCATTCCAGAACTCTATGTTCGTCATGTAGAAAAGGCGCTGTCGGAATCAGAGGATCCTTACAACACGATATGTTCGCCACCAATCTTTTTCTCAAGGAATGCACTGAATGTTCCCGCTGCGGTTCGTGTTACGGACATAATGTGGTCCATCATGGTCATGCAAAATCTGAGCAATCCTCGAGGTTTGGCGTTCCCTTGTTCTACATACAGCTTGAGTATGGTAAGCATTAAAAGAGATACTCTTTATTTACCCTTTCCTAGAAATGAAATTGCATCAAATTGGTGATGTTTCGGTTGGCAAGTTTTTTTTAAATCTATCTATCTTTTTTTCAAGGTCCTCGCCGAACAAGTTGGATTTTGGGACACCGACAAGGATGCGGTCGGAGAAGATTTACACATGTGGCTGAAATGTTTCTTCAAAACGGGGGGTCAGGCCAGATCGGTTCCGATATTTGTTCCAATAAATCTTACCAATGTCGAAACGACCAATTACATCTCAAACATTTACGCACGGTTTGTTCAAGCAAAACGTCACTATAACGGTGTTGCAGATGTTGCATACTCTTTGAAATCTGCCTTCAGCCGGAATAACCATTCGCAGGACACCGAGTCACTCCTCAGCTCCTCCCCTACCACTACGACGACGACCACATATGCACCTTCATCCGGAAAGAGACCTTCATGCCTAATGTCATGTTCGTTCATTGACAAACTCGTTGTTGTATTCCATGTGCTTGAAGCTCACATGATCCCGGCAACATCTGGATGGCTGATGTTCGCGGCGGTACCCCTGACACAATTCTTGCTCATATCGACATATTCACCTATATCCGACTATTATCCAAATTTTCAAAATCCGATAGTTAATTCGGACTTTTACGCCTATATGTTCTCATTAGTACAGGCTGTGGGTGTGCTGTTACCGATGCCTTTACTCCTATGCGCAATGATTTATGAGGGTTTACACCGAACGATAGATGCAGAGTTATTCAAGAAAGGAAGCAATGAAACGCGGACATGGAAGAACTATACTGACTATGCGTGGCTACCAGTTAGTGCTTGGTTATTTATGACCTTGCCTAGTACCTTGGCTTGTGTGAAGAGACTTACCAGAGGTGAGGAGAAATATGTTGTGGCCGAAAAAATATTCACAGAGGCTATTGTTGAATAGAAGGGAGAGAAGAGAGATATGAGTTAAGTTTATATAAGCTTTTATTCATAGGTAGAGAAATACCTGTGATTGTAATTCTTAGTATATATATTTTTATTATTTTCTTTATCTTGCAACTAGAATGGCATACACAACAAAGCAAAGTTATTTTCAATAATAAAAAGAAAAACGGGACTTTGTGGGATTTACCTTTTTGATTGGTCGAGAGCCTACTTTTGTGATTTACGGCAACATTCAGCCTTTGCTTTTAATTTTTCTTTTCATTCTTACCTTGTTTTTTTTTTTCTTAAGAATTGGTTTCTATGATGAATATAGTTTTTTTTTCCTTTTTTTTTTTTTTTTTTCTCCTAAGGTTCGTTTCTCTTTTGGTAACGTATATATCTATATATATGTGCATATATATACATATATATTTATTTATTAGGTACAAACATAATAATAATATCTTTTTAAAATATCATCCTCTACGTTTTCTTTATAACTTATAACTCTTTTTTACGTTATCCAACCAACCGTTCCACCACCAATAACACCGACACTTCTGTTAATATATTTATCATCATTTCACATATTGAACTTACTACATTAATAATTTTTCTACTGAACGGTGCATCAGTCATTCCGAAATTTTTTATAATTTTCGCCATCATCAATCGCATATAACATGCACATCATTCTTTATAATTACACAAAAGAAAAAAAAACAAAACATTTTGCTATTTATTTTAAATTCGTTAGAAACGAAAGAAATAGGAAATTTATGCGTAGATGAACGGCTTATGTAGTTTAGGAATTTTGTTGTAATTCTATTTTCTTTTATTTGTAACTTGTTGTTTTTTTAGTTGTTTGGAAAAAAAGTCTTTTTTTTTTTTTGAAGTTTATCATACAAAAAAAAGTTTGACAATTTTAACTTTTGAAAAAAGTTCGTCACGTGAATAATTTAATTTTTTTTTTAAAAAAAAATGACGTAACGGGAGTGATCTCTTTTTGTCTAGTTTTTTCGTCACCTGGACGCCTCATGCGAAGGCACGTAAATATTAGGCAATCATTGATATTAAGATTGACTATGAACGGAGTCACATGTATACTATTTGCGTGCATGCTATGCGCTCTAATGTACTACTTAGGTCAACCTATGTGCGTACGTGCGAGGCCTTAAATTATCTATTACTGGCTTGATTAGGATTCACTGTTGTGAGATCATGGCCGATAGATAGCGCGTATTGAATATTTGCCTATCATTCTAGCCTCGATATAGTGAAGTTTTTTTTTGGATGGTTTGCAATTTATCACATTAGAATTACGACATATTTGGTTTTTTCCATGACGAGCAATTACTTTAATTTTCCGGAATTGAATTGTTTATTACCTAACAAAGTTTTAAATTAAAAAAAAAACAAACCTCCACGCTGAATGACATTTGACAAGCACTTGACAAAATGTGAGAAGCGACATTCACCGCGTTCAAACTACCGATTCGATTTATCCATAATAGGAAGTTGAAATAATTGAAGCGATTCATGTTTTTGGTAAAAAGTTGTGCCAAAATTTTGTTGAATGGCCACGCCGACCTCTTAATATTGTTACTGAAATGAGCTAATAATAAATGAGTAACATATTAACAATTTTTGGGGAATCAACTGGTCATACCGGTTGGCCATCGATACCAAAAATTTTCCTATAAATACAATCAGTTGAACTAGAGGAAGTGAAGTCCATCAATTTGTAAAAAAAAAAAAAAAAAAAAAAAAAAAAAAAAAGAAATAAAGAAATAAAAATCGTTTCGCTTATAATAATATCTTTAATGATAATACTCTTAATGAAAACAAATAATTAATTATTTTGTTATAGAAAATTACGTCAATTCCCAATACCATCATTGTTACTAAAAGATGGACCCCGACACATTCTTTGCACCAATCAGTCACATCCTCCCACCACTTTCTTTGCGCGGTGTTCCGATACACCCGGACATTCCATTTCCCGAATTCTATCCAATCTTAATGGATTACCGTTTTCCGGTGGTATTCTCCTTTTTATACGCGTCTTTCGTCTCGTTCCTAAATCCGAAATCAAATAATGTTTCGAGGATGGTCGCAAAACAGAAGGGACTGAAACAAACGAGTGTTAGCAAGAAGAGCGGAAAATTGATGACCTCCTTTGTATTTTTCCATAATCTGGCCTTATGCTTTTTTTCGGTTGTCACTTTTCTGTCGGTTGCACCGACTTTTCTCAAGAGTTTTTACAAGCATCGCGACAACTTCTTGGACGCGGTGGGTTTGCAATTTTTTTTTTTTCTTGTATTTATATATCGCATTAAATTCATCTTTCATTATTCGTAGTATTGTGACCGAGATGGCTGCTTTTGGAATGATGCTCTCGCCTATTGGGGTTACCTTTTTTATCTTTCAAAATGTAAGCAAATGCCGATTCACTAATTATGCACTAATTTTCTATTCTCACGTGTGAATCTCCCTCATTCACAGACTACGAGATAATCGATACCTTAATAATACTTCTAAAGGGACGTCGCTCATCTTTACTACAAACTTACCATCACTCCGGTGCAATGATAACGATGTGGGCTGGTATGAATTTTAAGGCCGCCCCCATCTGGATTTTCGTAGTGTTCAACTCTTTCATCCATTCCATTATGTACGCTTACTATGCCCTAACTAGCATCGGTTTCAATCCACCTGGCAAACAATATCTGACCAGAATGCAAATCACTCAGTTCCTCGTGGGCACTTCCCTTGCTATTAGCTATCTGTTTTTGGATGATTGTTTGATTAACAGAGGTCAAGTGTTGGGCACCTACATCAACCTTGCTTACCTGTTTCCCCTGATTTATCTATTTGTGGATTTTGCGAGAAATATGTATAGTAAAAGTGCTGTTCGTCGTGTTGGCAGCACTGGCGTGGCAAAGAAAGAATCCATGTGAGATATAATACGTATGTGGATGCTCTCATATAGTTAGCAAGTAGTTATTCTAATTAATTTTTTCTGTAAAAAAAAAAATCACTAATTGCATAAAGTCCAATATCAAATTTTCAATATCAATTATACGTACAATAGTAGTTGAATAATTGAAAAATCAAATCATTGTTTTGTAAATTGCTGGTTGCAGGTTTTTCTTATTAAAAAAAAAACGATTATTAAAATAAGTTTAAAAATATATATACTAAATTAACAAAATATTAAAATATATAAGTATATAATAAAGAAATAATAATCATTAAAAAAAATTAATCTTATAATTACACACAAAAAAAAATATTTGCTTAAAAGTTTTTTGACTTTTTGATTAATAAAATTTTAATCTTTTTGGTAAAACAATTTGAAGAGTATTTTTAAGAATCACTTTTACCTTTCTCTTCTTGTTTACAAATCTTTTCAATTAAAAACTTGACTTTTTGGGGATCAAAAAAATCAAGTAAGCACCTTTACTATCAATGTTTCAAAAGAAAAAAAACTAGTTATAAAATATCAAATAATCTTTTTATCTTTGAAACAAATTATTTATACAGGTTTTTTGTAAGGAAATAATTGATTTTTTTTTCTTTGCCAATTATCCATGCTCTTTTAGAAATTTGATTTTTTAAAAAATTTTGATTATTTCAATTTGATCTTAAATTTTTAAAAATATAATTCTTATCAAACCTAATTGATTAACATAAAACATATTAGTTTTTGAAATATAATTAGACTTCTATTAATTACAATCATATATTTTGATAATATTATTTGTGATAAAACAAAAAATCAATAAAAATATTTTATTTTTATTTAAACAAGTTCTTAAAAAAGATAGTTATATATATTTTTTTTTGATCACAAAAGTATTAAATATAGGATTTTATTAAATATAATATTTATAATCAATATATTAACCATCTTTATTTAAAATAATAAGTTAATAATAATCTATTGCAACTGAATTAACAATATAAACTTGATATTTTAAGAGTAAGTTGATATTTGTTAATGCTGAATAGCTAATATTATTTATAACAAAAATACTACTATAGATATAAAAATAGTTTTATTAATATTTGTATCATTTATTATTAATATATCTAGAATTTTATTAAAAATACTATTTTTATTTTTTTGTTAAGTGCTTGATATAGTTGCTTTTGTAATACTTCATTTTATATTAGATAATGATAAAATAGTAACAGTTTCTGAATATTATTTTTATATTTTGTAAAGGATTTTCAGAACTTTATTTGAAATATACTCTTTTTTCTTATATGAAATATTAAAAGAACTAATAAAGTTACCTAGTGCTAGTTAAAAAAGGATGGATCCATTTATATTTATTGAGTCTGAAGATTGATAATTATTAATAAGATGATTTTTTAGTTGAAGTATATTTTTTATAAAGAAAATAAATTTATCTTTTTTGATATTAATATAGTTTTTATTATACAAGTACTTGAATATATATTCTAAATTCTCTATTTCTGCTTTATATCTAAAACATAGATCTTTAGTATAAAGAGTTGAGAACCTGATATAAAGTTTGAGTCTTATTGGAAATTGATTTACTATAAGGTTTATATAAAAAACTACCAGAGATTTAAACTTGAAATGATCAATTTTTTTGAGTATAATATTTGCTTTTATGATAAGTTCTAATTATTAAGTTGTTTTATTTATATTTTACTATTTGGCTAAAAAGAACATCAAAGAGGTTTGTATAATAATTAATAAATTTGGTTCATGCTATTATATTTGATATAATAATATTATTAATTAAAAAAAATATAAAGTAATATTGTAAGATAATTTTAAAAAGTAGTAGAAATATAATACTTGAGATTGGCTAATTAGCTAAAGTAAGTTTGTATTTAATCTAAATTATAATTATACTTTTACTTTTAATAGTTGTAATATAATTATTGATAAGTTTTGCAAATAGAATTTTGATTTGTATATTAATATATTCAGATATTTAAAAGTTTGATATAGTATAAATCTTATAGAGAATAGCTGTGTTGGTTGGGACTGAGTTGATTATATTTATAAAAATAAATTAAAAACTAATTTAGAAATTCTTGTTTGAATCATATTTAAAATTATAGAAGAAATAATAGGTTTCTATAAAGTTTATGACTTTAATTATAGTTATATCAATAAGAGAAGATAAAGTACTTAATTATGAATTAATAATTAAGAAATGAGTAAAGAGAGAAAGAGAATTAAAAATTGTTTAAATTTCATTGATATTATTTAAAACAAAGTGTTAATTATGGTAAAGGTGTGTTCAGATTGATTTAAATTGACTAATGGATTTACTAATTGTATAGGACTAGTAATGGCATATGTATGAGTTGAGTTTTTTGTAAGTAATATTCAAAGTATAATGTTTTTTTGCTATAGTTTATCAAACTAAAGTATTTTTTCTAACTTTTATTGTTTGAAAAGTATTGATTTCTGTGAATACTCAAAACTTTGAATTTGAATTCAGGAATAGTAGAATATTCTATAATATTAAGGTTAATGGTTATAATAAATCTCAATCAGGAAGATATCAGTTTCTTAATAATAGACCTTTTATAAGTATGAAGCTCTTTTTAAATAAGTTTTATGTCTTTATTAAAGATTAAAATATTTTGAAGGATCTTGCAGTTTGTATGAAAGAGAATTAGAGCTGCTTTTTTGTTGAATGTAACAATTCATTCAAGTGAATATTTATAGTTTTTTGAAATAAATGGTAAGAGATTAAACAGATATTTATTTTATACTTGAGTATAATATTTATTGCTATTGTTATTCAAAAGGATTTAAAGAATTGTGACCAACAAATTGAATATAATCAGATTATATATAAGATTTGAATAGATTTTATTTCTTTCTTTAATAAAGTAAAGGTTTTTGGATTGATTAGTTTTGTAATAAGAAACTTGATCACTATTATATATCTTTTGTTTTATAATCTAGAAGTATCTAGTCCTGCTTTAGAGTAGAGAATTTTGTTAAAAATAGTTTGTTTTGTACTTAATTTGATCTTTATTGCTTTAATTATTTTTGATTATAGAAATTTGATCTTAGGGTTAAAAGATATTATGATATAAATAATATATTCAAGCTATGATGTATTCTATTATAACATTTGTTTTGTTATCAAGCCATTCCAGTCTCTTTGTTAATTTATTGTATTAATAAACTCAGTAATTTTTTGTTTCAACTTTTTTTAGTATTTCTTCTGATAGATTTTTTTAACAGGTAAATTTTCAAGTATTTAATGGCTTTATTTTATATTAATAATTGTAATAAGATTTTTTGGGGGCTTGCTTGTTTTGGGTTTATAATTAGATCTATTTTTTTACTATTGCATATAATTGAGTTTAGTTTTAAAAAAGAGTAAAATATATTAATAATCTTTGAATATTAAAAATAAAATCACTAGAAAAAATAGCATCATCTATATATATAATAATTCTTGAGTTTGATGAATAATAAGTTATAATTTTATGGACTATGGGATTATAGAAAATGATTAATAGAAGTAAGACAAGTGTTTTACTATAATCTAAACCTTTAGTTATTTCTATTGAATCTATTAAGTTATAGTATATAATTATTCTGAATTTTCTCTTATAAAGAAAATTCAGAATTAGAATATTAATTTGTGGAGAGCTTTAATTTATTATAAAGCTAAGTTTAGGCTTAATAAGTTTACTAAATCAAATACTTTTGAAATTTTAAAGAAAACTATCCATATTTCCCTATTAAGTTTGTTTGTCATTTCTATATAATTGTCAATAGTTCCATTGTGCTCTAATTTTTAAGTTTTGCAAAGTTATTAGATAAAAGAATTTTATTTATTGTAATAAAGATAACCAGTCTATTGTTTATAATTTTTGTAAATATTTTTCTACTTGTTTCTATTAAGAATATTGGATAAGTATCAGTGAGCTCATGTAACCATATAACTTTTTTTGAAAGGAATGTGATAGTAGATTGCTTCCAATATATTGATAAGTTGTTTATATTGAGCACTTTATTGAATAGCTTTTTTATATAATCTCTAGCTAAGAGTCCTAGATTAATTAATACTTTATATAGGATTAAAATAATATCAAGAACCTTTTTTTTTTAGAGATTGATTAAGATATCATTGATTTCTGTGAGTATTATTTTATCTAGTATTGTTTTGAATACTTTATTAAAGACAAATTGTTTGAACTAATATTCTTTTGCCATTTTTGATTTAGAGAAAAAAACTTGAGATCAATAATGTTTTTGAAATATTTTATAATAATATTTGTTAAAATACTTAAATCATTCTAAAATTGATTACCATTTGAGAAAATAAAAAAATCAAATAATAGCTTGAGATCTTCTAAGGACTTTTTTATAGCAACCTCAGATCTTTTCTAAAATATATTAAAGATTCTTTTAATATATTTTATATTTCTTCTATTGCCATCTCTTTAGCCTTGATTGATTTTCTTTAATTATTATTTTAATTGAGTTTTTTGAAATTTTCAATGTAAATAGATTACTTATTAGATTTTTTACTGCAGATAAGATTTGAAGTGTTGACTTTTTAATTACTGAGCTAGTATTAAGTTCCTTTTTAAGTTATTTGATTACTAGTTTAAATAATTTTATTTATTTGTTGAGGTGAAGGAACTATTTGAATAGATTGGAAGGAACTTGTTAATTTTGAACTGAAATATTATTTTTTATTACTTTTTTGATTATTGTATTAATATTATTCCATGACATATTATTGATATTGATATATCTTAATTCAATATTCTCTTTCATTGATTTTATTTGTTTTTTTGTAGACTTATTAAAGAAATACTTTTTAGTATTAAATAAAATGTAATCAGGTCTGTACTTAAACTAATCTAATATAACCATGATTATTTTATAGTCAAAGAAAATAGATTAAGTCTATTACTTTGTAATTAAGAATATTGC